GAAATACAAAATATGATAATTTGTTTAGCTTTAGCTTTAATTTTATTCACGTTTTCTTTGAGTATAATAGCCTCACTAACATATTACTCATACGACAGCAGCTAATGAATAATTCTCTTTTTTTTTTTAATGTTCATGTAAAGTTTCACACGTTTTCAGTGCAAACTTTTGGCCTATTCTTCCAAAAAAAAAAAATTTTTTGGCATATTCAAAATTGTGGCAACCTAATCGTTTGTCCTCTTGTCTTTAAAACATAATGCCGAGACACTCCACTTATAATAGGGTTATTTCCTATTCTAAATAAGAATTAATTATTAATAACAATTAAGTCCTTCTTTTCTTTTGATCACACATTAACCCCCTTTGTGTGTGACCCCTTAATTTCAAAATAATATGGCTATAGAAATTAAATTATAACTGTTCTAATTAAAGTAATTAATTAACAACTTAATTAATTAATTCTTAACTTTCATTTGCCACAAGTAACACATAGCAGTATATTTTGACAGCTTGATAGTGTGACTTATTTGGAGCCTTTCAATTAAGAGTCACTGTACAATTCAATTCCTCTGTCACATGACAACCCGATTAGTCTACTAGGGAATGAAATAAATGTCAAACTCTTAGATTTAATGAAGTAACAATTAACAAAAAATTAAATAAAGTTAATACATACTGATAAAAATAAATTCTAGTGAATTTATAAATAAAGATATAGTTTGTTAGAAGAGAGAGAAACACCATAATAAAATATAATTTAAATTTATTAAAAATGATTGAGTTGCTAGAAGAGGAGTTTATTTCCACAATAACCTCATTCTTTAAAACTATTCCCAAACTAATGCACTTTCAAAATATATTCCCTTGTTAACCTACTTATTGCCATGTGGACTTTGAGTATAGAAAGTATTCGCATTTCCATCTTATATTAAGAGGTACAATCCACATCAATAGATTTTTAATAACTTTTCAATAGTTCAAATTTTACTACTTATGTACAATCTTAAAGATAAATAAAAATATTTCTCTATCTATTATTGAGTTTATTAGTGTTTCTCACATTAGATTGGCTCATATAGCGTGTTAATTTTGATACTAACACTGACCTAGTTATATTTTTTGTCTCCTATGTTTTTGGGATGTATTTTCTTTTGATAAGTTAAAAAATGCAAGAGAATTTTTTTTCGAATTTTCTTTCCTCTTACAGTGGAATTTTTATAGTTCACGTAAACTATGATTATTATGTATCTTGAAATGTTTACTCGTACTTCAAACAATTTGAGTTTCTGCATACTTCTTAAAATTTACAGAGTTAGGAGACTACCGTATAAAAAATTGCAAGTAACAAGAAAAAAAGAAAGGAACTTGTGTATAATAATCAAGAATAAAGATAGGGAGGAATAATGGCAGCAAAAAAAAAAAAGGTTCTTCGGCAAAATCATTGCAATTTGGAGGGTGATCAACAATTTTAAAACACTAATTATGGATCCACTTTCCTTTTTTAATTTGTTTACAGAATGTCCTTAAGGCACTAAATAACGAAAAACTATGTAATATCTAAACAAAAGATTTACAAGTTATTTTTTTCCTTTGATGGGGAGTCTACATGGCAATAACTAGATTAATAAGGGAATAAAAACTGAAAGAGCATTACTTTGGAATTATTTTTTGAAAAGTAGATTATTTTAGCCAAAAACTCGCTAGAAGAGAGAAATTATGAGAAAAATAATTAGAGCAAAGTTGGATACTAATATGGATAAAATCCGAATATCCAAATCACCCATCAATTATCTTCAATTAAGTATTGCCACCTAGCTAGAAGAGAGAAAATAGATAATTAAATTAAGAACTTTAATACATATATAGACACACACATACATATATAGGTACGCGCACACACACACATATATATATATATGTATATATGTATTATGCATGTATATAGTTACACAGATACCACACATTCCAATAAACTAATGGCAGCACTTTGATTGGTCTTATAAAATTCTGAACCTATACCAATCAAATTCCCGTGAACCAACCGAAGATTCCATTGATTTGATTATTATTCAATGTCGTGGGCTATCATGTGTCCAATAAAGCATGTGATGTCTGCCATTACGCCAAACTCAACAAATTCACAAGTTGTGGTCGTTTCATAAAAAGTTCAAACACATTATGTATTATAATATATAAATTGCTACCATGCGAAAGGGATCCAACTCCACTGGCCGCCTCGTTCCATAAACAAACATGGCTTCTCGAGATTCTGTGGAAGTCGAAACAGCCTTCACTATCATGTTTTCGGACAAACTATATGCTATTAATCATAGTCTTCACGCCATGATCCATTCACAAAGAAAACAAATTTAGACTTACAATTTCAATTAAAAATGAATTTTGATTGTCACCATAACCACAATTACACAAAATTTATATCAAGCACAGAGATGGCTCTAATACCAATAAAAGTAACTGAGGCAACAATATTTTTTTTTCAATTCTTTTATCGAGTCTGTGCAGAAGTCAAAACTAGATCTTCACTATTATGTCTCTTCAATAAACAATGTAATTAAGTACAATCCGCACGCCATGGTCTATTCACGAAGAATACAAACTTAGACTCACAATCCCAATCAAAAATGAATTTTGATTGTCACCATGACCACAATTACACATATTTTGTATCAAGCATAGAGATGACTCTATTAACAATAAGAGGAATCGAGGAAAAAAATTTCAATTCTTTTATTGAGATTATGTGAAAGTTGAAAACAAATCTTCGCTGTCACGTCTCTTGGATGATATTAATCACAGTCCACACGTCATGGTCCGTTCAATTAAAAACGAATTTTGATTGTCATCATAACCACAATTACATTTTGTATCAAGCACAAAGAAGGCTCTGGTACCAATGAAAGGAATTGAGGAAATATTTTTCAATTCTTTTATTGAGAATATGCAGAAGTCGAAACTAAATCTTCACTGTCATGTCTCTTGGACAAACCATGTTATTAATACACTCCGCATGCCATGGTCCATTCACGAAGAATGCAAATTCAGATTCACAATCCCAATTAAAAATGCATTTTGGTTGTCACCATAACCACCATTATACTATTTTTATATCAAGCACAGAGATGACTCTTATATCAATAAACGGAATTGAGGCAAAAAAAATTTTCAATTCTTTTTCTGAGAATCAACTCTGTGATAATACAAAATAAAAAATTAACCACAGCAAGGTTAGAATAATCATCCTTGTAATATGCTTTTCAAAATTTTCAAACATATCACAAAAACCACACACATGTCTAGCTTATAAGGCATATTTACATGATATAATCCTGAAACTTGAAGATCTCCTAACTAGTACTCTAACTCTTTAAAGATTTAGGAGAGAAAAAAACTAGAGAGAATTCTCCTCCACCTTAGCCGCCCTAGCCCTCCACTATCACTTTTGCCACCCTTCTCCCTCTTCTTTCTCCTCTTCTCCTCCCTTTCCATCCTTACCTTCTTCCCCTATTGCCCTCCTCTCCAACTCCCCACTTTCCCAACCTACTCGCTTTATCTTTCTCCTTTCTTCTTGCCAATGATTAGATCTGGTCACATTCAAATCACTCAAGGAAGAGAGGGAAAGATAGAAAGAACAGGTTAGGAAAATAGAGGAAAGGGAGAGGAGAGGCACCGTGGGAAGAGAAGGAGAGGAGATGAGGAGGAAGGAGAGAGATAGAGACAAAGAGAGAGGTGAAGGAAGAAGTAAGAGTGGGGTGGCAGGAATGGTGGTGTAGAGAAAGGTAAGGTAACTGGGTTAGAGGGGGAGGATGGTGGAGGAAAAAAGAAGGTGGTGAAAGAAAGAATCGAGAAAAATGGAAAAAAAAAAAGAATAAAGAAAAGGAATAAAATGATTTTTCTAAATAAAAAAAGCAAGAGTTGATTTTTTAAATTAAAAAAGGGAAAAAAAAGAAAAGAAAACATAAAGCATAAAATAAAATATAATCTTGTTAATAAAGGAGGATAAGACCTGCATTTTTCTATATTTTACCGTTGCTAATAACATTTAATGCCTTTTTTTTCTTCAAATTATATATTAATTTAATTTTGTGTGACCCCATAGTTTCAAACTAATTTGGTTATGAAAATTAAACTTGAGCTTTTCTAATTAGAATAATTAATTAATTATTTCTCAACTTTCATTTGCCACAATTGACACCCAACTATATATTATAATAACCAAATAGTGTAAATTATTTGTGAATCTTTCTATTATCAGTTATTGTACAATTCAATTACTGTATTACACTATATCCAAATTAGTTTATTAGGGTATGAAATAAATGTCAAATTCTTAGACTTAATGATACGTGCTCATTCTATAAGATAAACTCTATAAATTAGAAACTCATTTCTAATTTCTCATTCACTTTGGCCAAGAACTTCTAAGTTATATTTTAGAACATTAGATAGGATATGTTCCCTTTTGCCATGGGTGACAGATTCCTTATTAACCATTCGCATGTCTCTATACATTACTCAATATATCCAATAAAACTTACTTATATTTCTTGATAAGAACATAAGTACACTATGTTATTATAGTATAGGAAATATATACAAGACAATCTTAATATCTCAGGTCTAAGGATTACATCTATAGCTATAACTAGCAACAACTAATCGATGGATTGGTTATAATTTTTATTTGATGTTCTTTTTTCAGATTATGTTCAGTGAACTTATTCTCAAATAAGCATCCATATGTTTATCATGGTGTGTTTACACAAATGATTGAAATTCTTTTTGTTTTTTTGGTTCGCATCCATTTATTTGGAAAAGAACATTATGTTTGAATCAGTCCACTGCTACAACAATATCGTTTGAGGCATATAATGCGGGGGCACCACGTGGGATGTAGCCTGTTCCTTTTTCTCCTCAAACTTATTTTTGACAAGATGTGTCGGAACAAAACAAGAAACAGAATAGTGAAAACCAGATCTCAATCAGAATTGTGGAGCAGAAGTGTGGTATATCCAATCAGTTGTGATTGACACTTCAGGAATATCATTGAATGAAGTTGCATAAACCTTGTATCCTTCCTTCACGGTTGGAATCAATGTCCAATTGAGATCTAAGCATGATTCATGAATAAATCCGTATCCTCCATGACCCCAACTCTTTCCATAAGAGTTTTGGATGAGAAATGATAGCTTGCCATTGGAGTATTCCCAACCAATAGCAACTACAACATGACCCATTATCTTTGGATTTCCCTTATGATCAAGCTCAAATGGATCAAAGTCTGGTCTATTTCTGTAGACATGATGCCCCTTATAATATGAAAAGAACTTGGAAGTTCTTATCGCAATGATTATTGGTTGGCGAAGGATGAAGGAAGCTAAACCTTTTGGCTGGATACCAATCATGTAATTGATATGGGAAATCCCAATCCTTTCCCATCCATATTCCCCATTTCATAGTCGTCACGCAACACCAAGCATCCAACCTTCTTCAAAGCCCATGGTATTGCTTGAAAGTGATTTGCAAATTCTCGATGTATACTTCCATCCTGGGCCTTTTCGACATACCGAGATCCATACCGAGACCCAATGTCTATGAGGTACTGGTCTGACAAGACAACGCATTCCCCGGAATGAATTTGATGAGCGAGTTCAATGGCAGCAATGATGGAATAGGGACTACATGACGCAGACGTCTGTTCTCTAATGGGAGTTTGCACATAGTAATCAAGCCATGAAAAATTTTTGCCATCAGCAGGACTAAAATTGCAAGGAGTAAACCCTCTCATGCTATAGCAACGGGAGCTAGTCCAATCAGAGGAGTTAATCCTTCTCGCAGGCTTTGAAGCCAATCATACAGACATACAAACTCCAAGAAGAGGATGTGAGGATGATAAAACGTCATTAATGGTAAATATCACAAAATCAATTGATGTAGGTAGGATTTGTAATATCAACACATTCTAGCCAGATTGACAATTTAAATTATTGAAATTCATTATTCTCTCAATTGAGCAAATATAACATATGCTATTCTTATTAGATTTTTAGTATCCACATAATAATATTATGACTAAGAGTATTTCAGAATAAAGTACAAAAAGTATAGATCTCATATTATCAACTCTTGATAACAAATACTCTCAACTTTATAACCATGGACTTATCATATACTAGTTGATTTGGGCCTTGAAAATTTGCACGAGGATGCCCGGATCTTTGTTTGAATTTGTTCTTGTTATTATTAAAAAAGATTGGACATTTTAATAGGTTAATAAAAGAATAACTCAACAAAAGTCTAAAACAACTTAAGTAGTATCATTCAGAATGAGACCTTTTGGGTTTAGGAATCTCTTATCTGTATCGATGTTACTTTATTTAGGATTTTTTAGTTATAATCTTTTCCTAACAGACGAAGTAGTTTTGACGGTTTTCTTTATTATTTCGATTCCTATTTTAATTAGATGTTTTTAGGAATTTCTTATTAGTTAAGTAATTTCTTAGATTAATTAATTTCTATTCCTTACATAATTCTAATAGCGCTTGTGTGCCTATAAATAGGATTATTAGAACTGTTGTATTCATTCAAACTTTTGACAATATTATTAAACTTTTAACACTTGTTGTGTTTGTTGGGTTTACTATGAACCTTTGGGTACGTTCGAGGTTTTAGAATTTTATTGATTCTTGTTATCTCTTTGGGGAGTTGATCGTGTATTGCCCCTGGTTTCTTTACCATGGAGGGTGTTTGTGTAACCCCTCTAGTTTATCATGCTTTCGCCTTATTTGAAATGGTATCAGAGTAGGCTTCTCTTATAATGATCACGGGTGCATAGCATACCTTAGATCATGAAGAAGAGAGTGATCGTACCTTAAGAGTTGCTCACGACTGCGTCTTTATTGACGTAGTTCATATCAACCTCATAGACAACCAGACTATGAGGCATCATCTCCGGACAATGAAATTTTGGAAAGTTTCATTAGGCTTAAACCCTAACGTACTTTCATCAAAACTTGCAGCCTGTATATATGGTTCGTAATCTCTTGTCAAAGAGGGATAATGAGACACAATGACATCAATTATTTTGAACCAGGTGTAGAATTCTTACTAAAGCTTTTGATTTAGTGATTGATAATGGTAGTTCTTTAAATATTGTTTCTAAGAATTTGGTTTATAAATTAAAATTGTCTATTGAAAAGCATTCATAACCTTATAGGATTGGTTAGATATAAGGTGTTAAACCTGTTGAGGTAATTGCAAGGTGTCATGTTTTATTTTGCATTGATAAATATGTTGATGAAATCTTATGTTGATGTTGTGGACATGAATTCTTGTCATTATTGCTTGGTAAACCGTGACAATCTGATGTAGGTGCTACACATAGTAGATGTGACAATATTTATCGATTTGTCATGTATAAAAAATATCGTTCTATTGCCATTGAAGCCCAATTCACAATCTAAGTTTAATCAATTGAAAGGGTCTAATTTATTGTTTATAGATTGCAGTTTTAATACAGGAACAAAGGAAGTTGAAGGTGCCAAAGATGTTGAAGAAATTCGTGACTTAACTATTGAACTCTAACTAGATTTGGTGTCTAGTAAATCTAACGATGCAATTGTGATCTCAGATAACAAAAATAAAACTTCTTGTGTGAAGATTGAAATCAATAAAATTTCTTTAGCAACAAGTCCAACTCCTGGGTTGTCTGTCACATTTATGGAATCAATTCTTATCTTGGGTTATGAAACTATTGGTTTTGGCAAGAAATATGTGTTTGGCAAATTCTCCTATTGACAATTTTCTTGTGAAGACCGAGAAAAATTGTGTTCCTAGCCAATTGGGAGAAAATAGTAAATTTTATTTTGACAATGGTGGATAACGAAGTTATTGGTTTTGAAATTATCACAAATCGTATACAACTTCCTATGTTCATAACTGGGTGCAAAAGTTCTATCACAAACATCGATCCTATAAAATTCATGGTGGGATCATAGTTGCAACTTCTCATGGATCTTGTATTAAACTTCTCCGTGGAGCGCGAGAATGAGATCTTTTTAAGTAAAGAGTATGATACAGAATAAAGACCTCCGGATTTAGGAATCTCTTATCTATATCAATGTTACTTAATTTAGAATTTTACAATTAGAATCTTTTCCTAGCAGACGGAGTAGTTTTAGCAATTTCTTTATAATTTTGTTTCCTATTCTAATTAGATGTTCTAGAAATTTCTTATTAGTTGAGTAGTTTCCTAAATTAATTAATTTCTATTTCTTATGTCATTCAAATACTGCTTGTATGCCTAATAAATAGATTATTAGGACTATTATGTTCATTCAAACTTTTGACAATATTATTAAACTGTTAACACTTGTTATGTTTTGCTAGCTTGGCCATGAGCATTTGAGTATGTCCTAGGTTTTAGAATCTTCTTGATTCTTGTTCTTTCTTTAGGGAGTTGATCTTGCATCCCCCTAGTCTCTATACCTTGAAATGTATTCATGTAGCCCCTCTAATTTATCATGCTTTCGCCCTACATCATAGTATGATTATGTGCCCTCCGGGGCTTGGTCTGGTGGTTGAGGTTGCTGAATATGGGGCCTTAGGTCCCTGGTTCGAACCTTGCTGCCAGCAAATTATGGAGGGTGGGGAATAGTCTGCGGGGTCCACTCCCTGCTGGACACCCTTAAAAAAAACATAGTATATGATTATGTAGCATAGATTGAGAATATATCTTAGATGGATAAGTAGTTTTTACATAGGCATACATAGGATGATATTCCTTACAATCATTGCTCAATTTAGTACTCAACTTGTAGTTAGCTACTATTGAGCCTTAGCAAAAGCAGGATACTCGCAATAAGGCTACTACATCGCTCATAGTTAGATACAACTGATGCTAAACATGATAAGTTTATACTTGGCTACTAGTAAATTTTGGCAAAAGGAGCATATTACAGTGAGGCTACTACTTAACTAATAGTTATAGTGAAGCTATTACTTAGCTAATAGTTAGCTGCAACTGATGCTAAATTGATAGCCTTGAGCAAATTTCTGGCTAGTAGAGTTTTGACAAAAGTTGAGCACCCAGTTTTTGGTTAGCAGAGTTTTTTCAAAAGTTAAGCAATTCAAATGGGAAAATGGCCTGAAAAAGAAAAACAAAAAGAATAAATGAGAGATGTCACAGGAAAAGCTCCAAGTCAACTAGTGTTCAATGTAAGCCATTCTTAAGCATTGTACTTGTCCTTATCTCCTTATATACAATTGTCTAATTGCTTATCATCAATTAGGACCTTTGGATTTTGTCACTTATTTTGCACACAATTTCATCCTTAAATAACATTGTCTATATCACAACTTCCAAACAAGACATAACAAAAAATGGTCTAAAATAAATGAATAAAGAATGTCTCAGGTGCAAGTTGTAGGTTCGACCAAAACTTCTTTGCCTATACAGAGTCAAGTTGTATGCACCAGAAAACCAAATCAATTCAAATGATTAGGTATGAAATAAAAGATAAACTCAGCTCTCATGAGCTGAGTGAACATGATTAACATTGAGTTGATGGCATGAACTTAATGCATTAAGTTTTCTACATAAAATCTGAATGAACCCATTCAAACAAAAAGGAAAATTAAAGTATCAAGGATTTTCTTGTGGGATATGCTTTGCTACGGCGATAAGGAGGAGGGCCAATGAAGAGATCATCAAGTGGAAAGTAAAGAGTTGGAAGACGATGACACTGAGAGAAATGAGAGATTGAATCAATGGCTTGTTGCATCAGAGGATAGAGGCACAATTTACATGAAATTCCATAATTGCCCACTTTTAACTCGGCCAAAATTTCATAAATATCCACACAGTAAAGGTGTCATGGGAGACCATATACTATTTATAAACAAATTTCTCACTTTTCTATTCTTAGGAAATAATCACATTTAATTACCAGGTAAATTATAAGGTGCAAGTCTAACTACAAGTCCAGGGTTCAAATATATGCATTTTCTTTAAAATGTAAAGGATATGCAGTAATGCATCTCTTCGATCGAAAGATGGGATCCTCTCCCTCTAATCTCCCTTGACCTAGTATAGGTTAGAGAGTAGGATTTGTCAATTGATAACAAAAAAAAAAAAAAGAAATAATCACACACACACACATGTGGGATTAATTACATCTAGCTCTATTATGGTTTGACCAAATAACCATTACATTCCTTGAACTTTGGTAAATTACAGTCACCCCCTTTGATTTAACAAATATTAGATGGTGTCAAACATTTTCTTGTATAGACAAAAATACCTCTTTTAAGTTTGACAAGATTTAATGATATAATTGAAAAAATGATAAATCAAAGAAGTTATCTATTGTCAAAAGCTAAAATGAAATGGCCAAACAAAATCCCATAAACAAATTGGCCACCAATCCCTATGCCCCAAAATCCCGTAAACACCAGTTTTACCAATCCCATCATGGATTATGAAACCCAACACTCCTCTGCTACTTTTTTAACTTCAAATTCTAATCCATAAGCTTTAGATTTGTCTAATTTTGCATTCCTTATTTTTTTTAAAGAATTTATGTGGCCACAATAGCAATAAACATATGCAGATTCAATAGGAATTGTTTGCAGCAGGCAAATCTACAACTGATGCAAGTTGGGAATTGGCTAGAATTCATTGAAATTCGGATCCCAATTTCGTGGTGCCGGCACTTCAACCATGAATTGAAATCTACATCTTGTTATTTGCCACCATCCCAACGAACCAAACTCCACTCTTGTGCCACT